GCTCTGTCTCAAAAAAACAAAAAAAAAAAAGAAAGAAAGAAAAGAAAGATGTGGCTCAGATTTTGAAACTGTCACACACAATTTTTTATTCAGTATCTGGAAATGAGAGCTAGAGTCTTTAAGCAATACATTTTCAAAAACATTAACTGTTTTAGAATAAAAATCTTTAAAAAATGTTACACCTTTCAGACATTCTCAAATAATACTGAATAATATATAATTCACAACTCAGTGATTACTGAGTTATACTAGAGTATAAAAGTGATGCCTTCAAGAAATTACTCTATTTTTACCTCTAGGTCAGTGGACAACAAACTACAGCCTGTAGAAAAATCCAGTATGGTGCCTGTTTAGTAAATAAAATGTTATTACAATATAGCTGTGCCCATTCATTTACATACTGTCCACAGCTACCTTCAGAGGTAGCTGCCATTATACCTATCAAAGTATAATGGCAGAGCTAGGTAATGCTCAAGGCCTAAAATACTTACTATATGGTCCTCTACAGAAAAAGCTTACCAACTCTGTTCTAAACTCTAGGCTCCTTAACTTAATGTTCCACAATGCTTTCTAAGCCTTTCTGTGTGTCACTGTCCAGTTTTCACTATGATTACTTCCAAATGCTGCTGCTACTTGTATGCCAACATCCAGAACCTCTCACTTGATATAAACGCCCAAAGGAGCTGTCCTGTGTGACTTTATGTCCTAGGGGTACCTTACTTAATCATCATGGAGATTTCTTGTTTTCTTTTGGAAATGTATTTTAGATCTATCTACTAATGTTATCATATAACCAAATATGACAGTATCACCACTTGAGAGTCAGTTTTAAACTCCCTAAGAATTTAAATGTGTATGGATTACTTATAGGAATACTAAAAACTCAGGCAACTTCTAATCAAAGAGTTCAAAGAAACACCCATCAAAAAATAAGACCCTCAGACTAGAAATTAACAAAGTAAGATTCTTTAAAAAATATATTCTCTAGAAGTAGTTCAACTTTTTCAATTGCAGTAAACTGACAGTTGCTAGTTCCATGCTAGGACAGACAAGCTAGGCTGTGAGGGTGCCACAATCTTGACCTGTCCTCTAGTGGTAAATCCAACCCTTTCTTTCCCACTAATGCAAAAATCTTCCCTGGGAGCTAAGAACCTGAATGTTCTACGTATAAATTGTTCTCAGGCACAAGAGTACTAGTTACATCCCCAGATCAATTTTTAAACAAAATGTATCATAAATGTTCATCACTTCAATGGGCCATAATTCTGACACATACACTACGCACTACAGCTGCAATCAGTAGTAAAGACTGACATATCATCTGCCTCAAAAGTCAAAGGTTTTAGGGGGGGAATCAAAACATCAGCAAATATTTAAAGTGATAAGATGAGAGACTATGCTCACAGAAAACTGGTGGGTATCATGTACCTAGAGCTGTGATGGTGGAACTGGTCATTATAAATTCCTATTCTGTCCTCCCTCCATTCAATTGTCAAGAGTCCTCAAATCCCCTTCTTTACGGTTACAACACTGAATGTAAAATAATTCAATTTCAAATGTTATTTTACTACATTTTAGAATTAGAACATGATACATTAAAGATCTCCAATGCTGATGAAATCAATAGACCTCATGAACATCTAATACTTCTGAAGGTTGCGTAGCTAACTCTTAGAAGCAGTTGATTCTTCAAAAGATTATTGAATGATCTGGCACCAGTGGTGAAGAACTAGCAACCAGAAGCTGGATTAAAGAAACTCATTGGCTGACACATTTGATCTTTTGATTTTTCAGTCTATTCAATAAAAATACAGAAGATAAAAACCATAATGACCATTCTAAACAAATAACAATTAACCAAAAAGGTAATTAATTCATCCAACTGACAGAGGCAGGGCAGAAATGTTTCCTAAATACATTATAATATTATGTTTAAGAACAAAACTAACGAAACAAATGCTGGAAAGATAATTTTCATAGGAAGTGTTTACAAAGTATGTAAATACCTCCCACCTCTTTGATATTTCAATATTTCATAATTTTTATCAATGGATGTATAAGAGCAGGAAAATATAGGTAAAACCAATATAGCATATGTCAAATATATATTCTATATTTCATATTATATAAATATATGGCACATATTTATATTTAAATTTATAAAATATATATTATTTACCTACAAATATATAATACATGTATAACAAAAGTATCTGAATATTAATTCATTTCAAACAGTCATAAATATTTCTGGATATTTTAAATATTGCATGGATAGTTTAAAAGCACTATTTCCAATATACATAAAAACTATTTTAAAATGTATGCTTTTGGCCCCCAAATAATTAAAATACAGGCAGATATGATACAAATTCCTTCCTTTAAAAACTGGTACTTACTAAAGGGTAAAAAAATAAAACATGTTCTAAGTTTGCCTATAAAAAGAAACTACCGTTGATTCTCAGTTGATAAAACTTTTTATAGAATAGTATCAGTTAATAAATGTAGATATAATGATAGAATTAGAAACCCACCATTTTGCAATTCCCAGTGAAATAACTGATAAAGCAAGGAACATCAACAAATATTAAAATAATTAGGTGAAAAGTTGTTAAAAGGATATTCTAATGATACCAAAGTAACCATACAGATTACTCAGAAACTGCAAAAAGAAAAAAGCACCTTTAAACGAAAAAAACAGCTGGCTGTCACATTAACTAAGGAGATCAAACACAGTAAAACTAATAATAAGACAGCCTGACATTATATTTAATACAACAGAATACGAAGGTCACAAATGCTTGCATCTGTCAAGAACACTTAATTTAAATCTAACTTAAGCCTGTTAATACCTAACTTCAGTTTAAAGAAAATACAGAAATAAAGGAAAAAGTTTAACACTGCCACAAGGAAACAACTGAAGAAATTCCCAGAATGTGAGATATTCTACAATCACCTGGTTTCTTCCAAATGGAGAGGAAGAAAAGAAAGGTAGGAATTCTAACCATACACAATATTTGAACCTCAACTGAATCCTGGTTTTGTAATACAAACAAGCATTGCTATAGCTATTAAAAATTGGTTTCAGGCCAGGCACAGTGGCTCATGCCTGTAATCCTAGCAGTCTGGGAGGCCTGATCTCTACTAAAAATAGAAAAAACTAGTCGGGCATGTTGAGGGCACCTATAGTCCCAGCTACTCAGGAGGCTGAGACAAGAGGATCACTTGAACCCCAGAGTTTGAGGTTGCTATGAGCTATGATGCCATGGCACTCTACCCAAGGTGACAGAGTGAAACTCTGTCTCAAAAGCAATAACACACTGTTCTCAAAAAATTTTAATGATGTAGGAAATGCACAGAGTATTTTTTTTTGAGACAGAGTTTCACTCACAGTAAAGTGCACAGTAAAGTGTCACCCTCAGTAAAGTGCATCACAGCTCACAGCAACCTCAAACTCTTGAACTCAAGTGATCCTCTTGCCTCAGCCTCCCAAGTAGCTGGGACTACAGATGCCCACCACAATGCCCAGCTAGTTTTTTTTTTCTTTTCTTGTTTCTTCCAAGATGGAGTCTCACTTTTGCTCAGGCTGGTCCAACTTGAGCTCAAGCAATCCACCCACCTCGGCCTCCCAAAGTGCTAGGATTACAGGCATCAGCCACTGTGCCAGGCTGCACAGAGAATGTTAATCATTTTTAAAGTAACAAACCATTGTAGCAAAAACTGATTCAGACAAGGATCACTAACATATACTACATATGAGAAGGACATTGCCAAAGAACTAGTTATTTAGATAGTCTCAATATAACTTCCCACAAATTACTAATTGCAACAAGAAAAAACAGTAATAATACCTTGGAGAAACTGGACAATACCTTAACCAAACAATAAAAATTAGCAAAAACAGTAAGAAAAAAATTGCATCGTATGCCTCCAGATGTGACACCCTGAAAAGGACACCATATCTACGTATCTAGTATATAGTATTCAGGCCAAAAAACCATAACCTGCTCTCAAACGGTTCATTAAAAAAAAAAAAATAGCACGTACACAAATTCACTAATGTAACATTTTCCACATTTGCCACCTATCTTCCAAGGAAAAAACAGAATATTACTTACTCATGACATATAATATGTATAACTGTCATATTCCATTGAGACAGAGAATAAAACAAATGTGGTAAAACAAAG